TGAAAGGCACTGGTGGCTGTCCTAGTTCCTTTAGAGTTGATGTATCAGAATACCTGAAACTGGATAGTTTATAAAGAAAAGAGGTTTATTTAGCACATGATTCTGGAGGTTGGAAAGTTCAGGACGGAGCATTTGCATCTGGGGAGGGCCTTAGACTGCTTTAACTCATGTTGGAAAACAGAAGTGGAAATGATGTGTGCAAAGAAACCACATGGCAAGAGAGAGAAACCAAGGAGGCCAGACTCTTCTTAACAACCCACTCTTTTGGGAACTAATCCATTCTGTGAGAGTGAGAACTCACTCCTGTGGGAAGGCATTAATCTATTCATGAGAGATCCACCCCCACGACCCAGACACCTCCCAGTAGGCCCACTAGGCCCCACCTCCCACTGCTGCCACAATGGGGATCAAATTTCAACATGAGTTTTGGTGGGGACAAACCAAACCACAGCAGTGGTCTTGCCAGCGTGTACATGATAATGGCATTTCCCCCCTATCCTGGGAAAGGAATTACTGCACGGACCTTAGAAAGCAGATAAACCACTCTATAAGAAATGTAGGTATTTTCCTCTTAGAATCAGTTCAGTTCAGTGTTACTGTTGTCTTCTATGTGTTAGGCCCTGGGTTAGATACTGTGGAGTGAGAATAAAGCAATGTAAAACCTCCCTAGACTATTGAAACAGCCTCCAAAGAGGTCAACTTCCTGCCTCCTGCCTCTCTCCATTTCTTCTCATTTTCTACTCCAGTGCCAGAGTTTATAGCTTTCCAAAAAAAAAAAAAAAAGTAGTAATGTTTGGCTCCTCATTGCCTCCAGGGCAAAGTCCAAATTCCTTAACATTGCATATAAGACCTTTTCTCATCGGGCTCTAGTCTCCTCTTGTTCCTGAACCAAACCTCCCATGGAAACACATTTCCCTGAATGCATTCTGCCTCTCAAACATGTCTTTACACATGTTCTTTCTGTAGAATGATCTACTCCCTAGTTACTCCTTCTTGTCTTCCCATCACAGTGTCTTCAAAACCCTATTCACATTATTTATTTCCTTGTCTTTGCTGCTGCCAAAGATGAAAGGAGGGATCTCAGTCATTTCTATTCCAGGGCCTGGCACAAAGCGCTTATTAAATGTTGTTTTCAATGAATGATGCAGAGTACCTCCTTAAAGGATCTTATAATTTAATGAGGAGGGAAGATGATCAGAGGGCTGAAAGTCACTAACATGTGGCTGAATGGCAATTGTGTATTATTCAGCTAAATTCTGCAGTTTCCCTTGACCAGCTATAGAACAAATGTAAATATGTCCAGTTTTAGTTGCCCCATAACTTAGTGTTCGGTGACATTTCTCAGTGCACTGTGGTGTTATTTTGTATGTTGCCGTTCTTTGTCAACGAAGCTCCAAGCAGAGGGCTTGTGAATATAGAGCTGATGTTTGTTGCAATGGGGAAGAAATATGAGTCAATTAGTGATGAAAATGAGAAAATGCACTGTTTGACATCATAGGTTGATCTTGTCAAATTGGAAAAAGTTCGCTTTACATTGTGAGACCGTTCTGTCTTTTGTTATTATATACATACCTCTCTCTCTTTTTGGTTAGTCATTTTTCTTTCCCTCCCAGCCAGTTAACATGTTCATAAACAGAGGTCCTTCTAACTCAGTCACCTTTTGTAATGTCCATAGGACAGTGCTCATTTTGGGGTTAATATCTTATAGTCTCCCCTGCTTCCATCTCAGTTTCTTTACCTTACCAGAAAATTAGGTAATTATCTGTTAGATTTAAAATTCGAGGATCAGATTTAACTCCTGAAATAAGGAGAAGGGTGTAGATGATTTTATTTATTCTTATAGCAAATTTGGCTTTATCGTATAATTACTTTATAATATTTTACTAATTGGGATTTTTTTCTTCGTTTTACGTGTTTTCAATAAAAGCAGTTCTTGATGTTGACAATGAAAATTTTGCTGGTGGCTAACTTGGGTTTTCTCTGTTGAAAAAGATCTTCATTTTTCTCTTGATTCTCAAAAGCTATTTTTGCTGGGTAGATAATTCTAGGTTAGCGGTTATTTTCTTGAAGATATTTCTCTGTCTTCAAATCTTCACTGTGACTTTTCAGAAGTTAATCACTAGTACTTGGAAAGTTATCTTTCCTATTTCTGTGGCTGCATTCAGTATTTTTCTCTTTGTATTTCACTTTCTGCAGTTTCACTGTGATGTAACCAGGTGTGTATTTCTTTTATCCTGTTTGGACTTTTTGAAGCCCAGCACTGTCTTTGATGCCATTCATTACTGTCTTTGTTTTGTGTTGCTATAACAGAATACCACAGGCTGGGTAACTTATAAATAAAAGAAGTTTATTTCTTACAGTTCTTGAGGCTGGATAGTTCAATATCAGGGTGCTAGCATCTGGCAAGGGCCTTCTTGCAGCGTCATTCCATGGTGAAAGATGGAAGGGCAAGAGAACATGTATGTGTGAGAGAGAGCAAGAGATTGAACTCACAGCCTCAAGCCCTTTTTTAATGTCATCAATCCATTCATGCAAGTGGAGCCTTCATGACCTAAATATCTCCCGTTAGGTCCACCTCCCAGCACAGTTGCACTGAAGATGAAGTTTCCAACATTTACTCTTTGGGGTGCACATTCAGGCTTGTTGAATGTGTTGAAATCACTTGTTGAATCACTTGTTGAATCACTTGTTGAAAATTTGCAGCTGTGATCTCTTTCACTGTTGCTTTTGCCTCATTCCCTCTCTCTCCCCTCTTGTTGGTACTCCAGTGAAGCTCAAGTTAGAGTTTATGATTGCAATGGTTCATTTTGCTTTCCTTTTAAAATTTCGTAAGGTAGAAGCTTAGATGCTTGATTTGCGACTTTTTTCTTTTCTAATAAAAACATTTAATCTTATAAATTTCATTCTAAGTTTAGCTGAATCTCACAAACGTTTATTTTCATTTTCTTTCAGTTCAAAATATTTTCTAATTTCCTTTGAGACCTTCCCTGTCACCCATGGATTATTTAGAAGTGTGATGTTTAATATCCAAGTGTTTGAAGATTTCCCTGTTATTTTTTCATATTAATTTCTAGTTTAATTCCATTATGGTCAGGAACATACATCGTATGACTCCAGTCCCTTTCAATTTGCTAAGATTTCTTTTATAAATGTTCCATTTTGTACTTGAAAAGAATATGTTTATAAATGTTCCATTTTGTACTTGAAAAGAATGTGTATACTGTTATGGTTGAATGGAGTATTCTATAAATGTCAATTTGATCCCATTAGTTAATAGTGTTCAGTTCTTCTATATATATCCTTGCTGATCTGTCTACTAGCTCTGTCAGTTGCTGATTAGAGTTTTTATGTCTCCAGCTGTAATTTTAGATTTGCCTGTCTCTTTCAATTCTGTCAGTTTTTGCTTTATGTATTTTGATGCTCTATTGTTAGGTACAAACATGTATAGGATTGTTATATCTTCTTGGTGCATTGACCCTTTTATTAGTATGTAGTGTCCCTTCTTTATCTGCCACAGTTTTCTTTCTCTGAAGTTGAATATTAATATAGCCATTCAGGCTTTCTTATGATTAGTGTTTGCATGGCATATCTTTTCCCCCCATGTGAGTTGCAATTTCCCTGGTTCTTTATATGCTGAGTAATTTTGGATTTTATCCTTGACATTTTGGTTATTATGTTCTGAGACTCTGTGTCTTGTGTAAATAGTATGGAGAATATTGACGCATTTGTTTAGCAGGCATTGACCTAGTTGAGCTCAGGGCATGTGTTCTGTTCTAACTAGCCTTTTGCAGGTTGTGGTTTCAATGCCACTTCTGTTTTCAAAACCTTTGTAGTGCTATTTGTTACCTATCTGTATTTTACCATGTGGCCACCTGGAGCCTGGTTGGTGGTTTATCCCATGATTTAGGCGTCCTGGTCATTTGTAGGTGAAAGCTGTTCATAGTAGTCCAGAACCAAGGTTTGAGATTTTCTTGGTCACTCAGCTGATGTAAAGCTGGGCTGCTGTCTGAACTTGTACCCTCAGGGTGCTGCCCCTTTGAAGGTCAGCCCACACTGACAGGTAATGCCCCAGGACCCCATTCTTGGAAGTTAAAGAATTTCAGCCCTCATCCTCCAAACCCTAAAAGGACTCCTTTCAGCAAATGACCCTACGGCCAAAGCAGCTGGACATCTGGGCTTTCTCCAGGCTCAGGCACTGATCCTCAGGCTTCTAGCCTTCAGAACTGTGAGACGATACATTTCTGTTGTTTAAGCCACTGAGCAGATGGTACTTTGTTATGGCAGCCCTAGCAAACTCATGCTAAGTGCACAATTCTCATCTCCCCCAGGCTCCCGTGGCTAAGTTGAGATCTTTAAGAAAACATATTCTTTTAGGTCCTTAAATTTAACTTCAGGTACCTAGTCCATTGCCTGTACATAGGAAGTAGGCACTTGATAAATACTCACTGGTGTTTCTGCTATGACGGAAAATTTATGTCCCTGAAAAACCATACATTCTGCACAACAATACACTAAAAATAATAAGTATCTTGTGGGAAAAGTAAGATTACAGCTGATCTCTCAAAATCATTGCAACTTGGTAACTACTAGCAAAAACCATAATTGCTACCTAAAGAGATTATCTGGACCACCCAAGCAGGCATCTCAGTGTGGCTACATGTTGCTAAAATGGATACTAAAATATACAAAAAAACAGGCTGGGTGGGGTGGCTCAAGCCTGTAATCCCAGCACTGTAGGAGGCCGAGACGGGCGGATCACGAGGTCAGGAGATCGAGACCATCCTGGCTAACATGGTGAAACCCCGTCTCTACTAAAAATACAAAAATTAGCCAGACATGGTGGCACATGCCTGTAATCCCAGCCACTTGGGAGGCTGAGGCAGGAGAATCGCTTGAACCTGGGAGGCAGAGGTTGCAGTGAGCTGAGATCGCACTGTTGCACTCCAGCCTGGGTGACAGAGCAAGACTCCGTCTCAAAAATAAGATAAAATAAGATAAAATAAAATAAAATAAAAAACAGCAGCATGGAAACCTGACAATGCTTGAATTGGTACATGGGCGGTGGGTGTTGAGACAATGCACATAGAAGTGGAACTCTGAGCCCTGGGCCTCCTGTGATAGTGGCCATTGATGGAGCCAGTACAGGTAGCCAAACTGAGGGAGCCTCTGCCTGGAGGTGGGTGCACTGTCTGGGGAGTGGGACCCAGCTGTAGGTTCTTTGACAGTGTGGCATAAAATAATTTTTTGCCTGAAACTTTTAGTCATGAAACTGCAAAACTGCTTGGGACTTGGGTGCCATTTCTAAAGGGCTCTGACAATTTGGCAATGATTTAATGTCATTATATGGTGGTTGCTTTGTTCTTAAAATACAGCTTCTTGCTGAGGCCAAGTTAGGTGACGGATTTTTTTTTCCTTTTCTTGCCTAAGATTTTCATTTCACTCCCTCCACTTTTTTGCTTAGGAAACTCTCAAATGAATCGGTGTGACTTCCATGCTGTAAGATGTCACTGCCACTTACCAATCAAACATGAGCTCATCTGTGTTACAGAAGCAGAACAGAACAGATGGTATTTGAATTAAATTGAATTATCTTTTGTACTCCTTATATTCATTTGTTAGTCTCCTGTGCTTATGATAAATTCAAGTGACTTCAGATGTATTGAGTTAGCCAGAGCTGCATATTTAAAATTACCTGTGGAGTTATTTAAAAATTAAGTTGATATATATTGCCCAAAACTTGTTCAAAATTTGAATTGAATTAATTCATTGAAACATTCAAAAATTGAGTGTTTTCAATTAATAGAGACATTCTCTTTGTGATATAGAAAGCTATTTGTTGTTCTTATTGATTTTCTTTCTTACAAAAGAGGTTATTTATAAATTTTTAGTGTGATCCTAATTGTATTTCTAATATTTTTGGTTTGGTTCCCTAAAATAGTTAAGGTCACTTTTAGGTAACAATTAGCAGACTTTAATTTTGACCATATATAGATACATACACATCACACACACACACACACACACACACACAAATACAGTTTCAAATAATTTCTTTTAATTGATTTCAGTCTTGTTAATCTTGTGCATAAATTTCAACTGAGCTATTAATGACACCTACAGTTGACTTCCATTATTTGTTATTTTTGAAAATTCAAATTAATATATTACAACATAGAAAGTCTCTATCAAATCTTGAACATTTAGGATTGTAAAGCTTTTTGTTTTAGCAAATTTACTTATGATCAATTTATAATTGAAGAATTGGCTTCTAATCTCAATTCAACCTGGGGTATTTAGTTTTTTAAAATCGAAATTATATATATATAGATAAAAGTACATATATAGAGTGTCATACTTTGTCATAGGTTAAGTTTTCTAAATACGGAAAGTGTCTTAAAGAGAAACTCTTTATACGAAGAGGAAAGGAGTCATAAACTATTCTTAGTTTGGCATAAAATGATTTTTTTTTTTTTTGGCATGGAAATTATAGGCGTAAAACTGCAAAAGCTGCTTAGGACTTGGGTGCCATTTCTATAGGACTCTGGCAATTCGGCAATAATGTAATGTCATTATAGAGTGGTTGCTTTGTTGCATTTTATTGACTTTTTAGTGATAAATTCCAGGAGAATCTTTATTTACCAGGATTAAATTCAATGTAGTGTTAATCCTTTCCATTTTCTCACCTCCTTTCTGTAGCCAGAGCTGAAAGCAGGGTAGGAGAGTGGCTTTGAAAAGGAAGGAAAATGAATTTGACAATGATCAAAAATGCCAGGCTGAAGGCAGCTTTTAATTTGATTAACCAGTTTGTAATTCATTTTTGGGAAACATTTCCAGAATATGACAATTTCAGAGAACACGAAACCTTCTTATAATTCTGGAAGTGGGAAGGAGAGAGGAACAGTATGTGTTTTTGTGTGTGACTTGCATTCTCTCCTCCGTTTTTGGAGCAGCATGAGATTATTGCAATGCTACATTTCTTCCCTCTGCGCCCTCCTACCCCATCAACGTGTCTCATGGGTGGTGTGATATAGGCTATGGGAGTGAAAACCATTGGTGTTAGTCTGTGCATAGTTCCCGGGGTGTGGCGAGTACCAGCTCTGACAGCAGAAGAGAACTGTACCGTTGATTCCCATTATTCTCAGTAGGTATGTTCTATAAAATTGCTGCGAACACCGAATTAGTGAATCCTGAACCATCGTTCCCAGAGGAATAGGGGGTTAGGGTCCTGTGAGCCTCAAGTCGCAACATTGTCTTTGACTGATTCATATGTAACCTTGTTTTATATGTGCTTCTGTTTAAAGATACCTTACTCACTATATATTGTGGATTCGTTAACACTGAACTCATGGTGAACGGCACTGCCACTCGTGCCTGAACAAAATTTCCCTAATCCAAGCATTTTCTCTGCAGGCACACTGGATAACACTTCACCACTCCGTTTGGGGACCATTCTAAACAGCAAAATCACCAACACAAAGCACAGACATGTGAAAAACATGGCACTAAATAGACCATGAAAAGACCATTTGTTGACAGTACGAGGCTGAAACAAGAAGGCACATCGTTGCCTGGTTTGACCTCAACTGGGAATATGCACATTCGATGACTCAATTTTTTATTGTTGTTGCTCTGCAAACATCTGTGAATGACCAGGGAAGTGCCATGAGTATTGATTTTTGGGGTTACAAATACATTTTAGCAAGTAGGTGAATTCACAAATACAGAATCCACAAATAATGAAAATCATCCATACTTGAAAGACTAGAATTGGAGTCTCTCTGTCTGAGTTTCCATATTTATAAAATGGGTATAAATATGACACACACTAGAAGTTTGTGAATATCAATATGGAAAGGTTAAGTGAGTAAAGTTTTCATCGCATTGCCAGACATTTGAGTCCTCAATAGGTGATAGTGGTGTTAGTAGTAATTATTAAGACAAGTTAAAAATAATAGCAGCCATCTTTATTTGGTACCTATACCATTGCTCGCAATAACCCTGAAAAGTAGGAAGTATTATCTGTATGACACAGATGAGAACCTTAAGGGCCAGAGAGGTTGAGTAATTTGCCCCATCACCCATCTGGGAAGTAGCCAAACTGGACTTTGAACCCAGTACTTGATGACTTCAAAATCCACATCTTTTGATCTGGTGCAGTGAATAAAGATTATGTCTGGCTTCAGGTCCCAGATGATGAAGTTGGGATTGATATTAGGCTGGTGCAAAAGTAATTGCACCTAATACATCCAGGTGAGGGCAGAAAGTAGTTAGGGCAAGAGGAAAGCCATGTGGGGAAGGTTAGACTTGCTGCCCAGAGCTGGAGACATTAGGGCAGAGTGATCCAACTGACTAGTCTTGGGATGAAAAGACATTAAAAAAAAAAAAAAAAAAAGATTATAACACTAGGAAAGAAGCCAGAGGGGGCTAGAACAAGAATAAAGGCTTTAGCTAGGAACTATCTGGAAAGAGGATCTGGGCAAGGAACATTTTGTATTTAAGGGAGGTGGTGAGTTTGAGGCTCCTTGGTTTCAGATACTTCTGTCCACCATCTTTCTAGCTGTCCAAATCTTCCCTTTTCCCCTCCTAATTGTTGTGTAGAGATTATTCTGAGTCAAGGCAGAGCAGTCTTGTGAATGCCCAAACCCTGAGAGACACATGGAAGTTTCCTATCATTTTTCTACTTGTTATTATTCTGCAAATATTTGTTGGTAGACTACAACATAGCAATTTCAGAGGAATGCTTCATGGTGTTCTTGTGGAATGATTATTTCTTACATCTGGTTCAAGTTTGATGGGTGTGCATTGCATGAATTTTACCAAATTGTGTGTGTGTGTTTCAAATCCGCATAAATTAATAAGTAGTCAAAAGTAAGGGTAGTGTTTGTGGGAATATATTTTTCTTACTTTTGTGGGTCCCCAAGAAGTTAGTCCACTGATTTTATGTATATATGCACTCACTACTACTGTACATCTGGAGTAGAGACTGCCAAGCTTCTGAAATGCTCAGATAGTAAATATTTTATGCTTTGCGGGCTATGTGGCCTCTATTACAACTACTCAACTCTGCTGTTGTTGTAGCCATGGATACTGAGTAAACTGATTAGCATGGCTGTGTTCCAATAAAACTTTATTTACAAACACAGGCAGTAGCTTGCCAACCCCCTAACTAGAGCATAGCTGTCATTTTGAGACCTGCATAACTTCTTTGTAGAATTACACCCTTGCAAGAATTCTGCCCGAAGTATTTCCGAGTTTGCATTATAACCTTGTGGGCAGGGCAGTGAAAGTAATATTATATAGGAAAGTTACCATCTCCTAGGAATTTTGTTTTAAGAAAAATATTCTAATACTAAAGTATGACATTTGTTGAACATTTTTTATTGGCAGTAGGAAAGGAAAATTGAAATTACATACAGGAACTCCAAAAGCTTGCTCGTGCTTATTTTTCTTCTATTACAGATTGAACATTTAATGATAAATGTGGGAGGGGGATTTAATATTTCAGAACAGAAGGCAGAGATTAATTTTATTTTGCCCCCTAGAATGTGATACATTTTCTGTCTCTTCTTGCCCCCCACTGCCCTGCCCTTTCCCACTCCTCCTCTCTGTCCCTCTGTTGGGATAGGGAAATTGACTGTAAGGGGATATGGGTCTATGTGGGAGGGAGAGACAAGAGGGTCCCAGCAAGATGCCACCTCCGACCCTACTATCACTGTAAGCAGTAAGGAAAGGAAGGGGTAGGTTTATAGCTCTCAGCCCATGATCAGCTAGTTCCACCTCCATGATTGTTTGATCATGGTCAATTTGTAGAGGATCTGTTTCTAAAGAGCTTTATTTAAAACGGCCCCTTCTCTAAACACCTTGCAGTTTTGCACCCAGCGCCTCGGATCACCTGCTGGAGGCCACAGAGGACAAACACTAGTTCAGTGTTCGTGGGGCGCCTTTGCTGAACAGTAGTGCGCGTGGGAAGCATCAGCAGTTATCCACCTGTTTCTCACCATCCCTTTCCTAACTGACTTTTACTCATTCATGGCCGTGGAGATATGTTTGCTAGTCTTTGTCAATTCATCCGCTTTTTTCCAGGAAGTCCTTTTCTTTTAAATGCTATCATATGAAGGCTGCCCTTGCTTTAAGCATTTTTTATTATTGTTATTAAAATGAAGAATGAACCCCTTTCTTCTCTCCTACCCCACACTCCTTGGAGGTTTAAGTGAACAGAAAATGGTAGTACGAGAAAAGATCCAGTTAGGTGGGTTTGCAGAAAAGTTAATCCAAGAGAAGTAACAGATTGAAAACGTAGGCTTCTGACTATGCTAGTGCAAACTGAGTTAAGTAGATCAATTAGAGTTCACTTTCCAATATGATTTTGATGAATAGTGTAACATTTTGCAAGACTTTTTGAAGACAAAACCACTAACTCATTGTATTTTTTGTTTTGTTTTGTTTTAAGAGACAGGGTCTTGCTCTGTTGCCCAGGCTGGAGGGCAGTGATATGATCATGGCTCACTGCAGCCTGGAACTCCTGGGCTCAAGCGATTCTCCCACCTCAGCCTCCTGAGTAGCTGGC